TGGGTGGAGGCTGGAGGACAGTCGGCCATTTTGATTAGGTTAGGTGTGACTAGCGGGTTTCTGAGGTGGAAACGAAACTTTACTGTCTATACGAAATGGGAAGACAAACGATGTCCTGACCCTAACCCTAACCCTGACCCTAAACCTAACCCTGACCCCAACCCTAAACCTAACCCTGACCGAAACCCTGACCCTAAACTAACCCAAATCCTAACCCTAACCCTCCACCTTCATAATTGTGAGAAATAAATATTTTTGGGTTAAACTTGTTTTGAAATGTGGGGACATGTATGCGACTTTTCTGTGTATTTTTTGGGGAAAATTCAATAAACAGAATTGCGGCAGGGCACCCTAACCTCGGTCTGCGTTGCAGGTGATGAAGAACCAGTCGGTGAAGACGGCGGACTCCCTGAGCGACGAGGACACGGCGGGCGAGTTCAGCGACCAGCGCAGCGAGGACGAGTACTGCCCCTGCGACGCCTGCGTCCGCAAGAAAATGGAGGCCCGGCCTTTTAAGAGGAACCCGCTGGCCGCCGAGGCGCCCCTGATGATGGAGTTCGACCTCCTGAAGATCCTCCAGCTGAAGAAGAGCCCCTTCCCCTCGCCGGCGCCCGCGGTCGCCATGGCGACGGCGGCGGCGGGCGGCAGCGGGACGGACGACGAGGGCCGTAACCTGGAGATATTAGAGGAGGAAGAGGAGGACGAAACCAAGGAGGATATCAAAGCCGATATGGTTTTAGAGGAGACGATTCCAGAGGAGGAGGAGGAGGAGGAGGAGGAGGAAGAGGAGGGAGGATGCACGTGTCAGACGGAGGAAAACACCAACGAAGAAGAAGAAGGAGAGGAAACGAGCAGCCAGGGAGGAGAGGAGAGTGATAAGGAGACGGTGAAGGAGGCGGGAGCAAGTGAGGAAGAGGAGGAGGAGTCTGGGGAGGTGGAGGGAAGCGCCTCAGCAGAGGATGAAGAGGAGTCACATGAGGAAGAGCGAGCCTCCTCACAGGTAGAGATCAGAGAAACATCAAACTTTCTTGTTCCACCTTCTATTCTAATACATCTATTTAAGGAAACCCATTAAATATCTGTCATTTTAGGCTGATATGAGCAGATAAAAGTCTCCAAAATGCCCTCCAGCAAAAAAATAATCAGCAAAAACCAACCAAAATAAGACAGAATCACGAGAAGAGCTTTCCTTTCTTCTAAATGTAATTTTGAGAAGAAAATTGAAGATTTAGGGGTTACTTTTCAGCTCTTATTGGACAGATATTATCTACTAATTAGTTTATCCCAGGTTTCCTAAATGTGTCCCCAACCTGCTCAAAAACACACCGTTTTTATTCCAAATAATGGACCCAAACAGGTGTTTCTCTGTAGTTTAGAGGGCTAACTGGTGCTTTGAATCGGAGCACAGCCGACGTCCAGCGAAAGCCCGGATGTTCTCGACTATTTTCAGACACCAATCCTGACCAATAAGCTGGGAGGAATCTGTAAAACGAGAAGTTAAAGGCCACCGACATTCACCAGAGCAAAGGGAGCAGGTGGATGATAAAAATTAAGGTTTGAGGGTGTCCTGCAGGGTTGTTTTGTGTCATAAGAAAAATATTTAGGGGGAAAAAAGCCGACAATGCTTTGACTCTAGATTTCTGGAGCCAATCTCAACCAAGTTAGCTGATAAATATAATAAATATAAGGTTTACCAAAGTCCTTTTATGCTTTCTATTATCTTTAAAACCTCCATCCAATCATCAAGTCCTTATCATCAGGAGGAAAATAACAAGAATAATAAAGATAGCTGATATATCTGTATCTGTATGTTAAACGCTTTGGTAAATATGGCTGAAACTGACAAATATAAACAGGTAAAGCAACTATTTTTACTCACTTAGGACATAGATGAGGTTAAGAGGATTGAAACTATCTCAGGTTTGAATTAGATTAAGTTTTGATACTGTATGATAACAGAAACATCAGAGGTATATTATTAAAGGGCTTCAAATATATCACAAATGTCTCCAGACGGGCGTTTTCTTGACTCAATTTACAGGTTTTGTGGCAGGAAATGGACATAAAGATAAAAAATGACTTCTAAGATGCAATTTCTCTGTTATAAAACAGCACAAAGCCTCTGAACGTGCTCCTGGAGTTAAAGTCAGCTGTGCCTCAAAGAGGAATCTGACCCACTGCAGCCTGGCTGCTAATTCTAAGCCCGTGGGAAAAGATAAGCTCACCATCCAATTAGGCAGCCTGGACAAATCTGTTTTGTTTGGCATCAGTCGCCGACTCCTTTTAGTCTGTTTAGTGTCTTTACTTCTGCTCCGAGATCATTTTTTGATGATCTGCTCTGCATTTAAAACATTAAAAAAAAAATACTTTGTTGAAAGCCTTATAATATATGAGTATTTGTACTGTAATGTGAAATAATTTGAAACGTATAGTTGTTCTTATGATGTGATCATTTGATATGTTTTGTGTATCTGTATAATTTTAACTCATTGGCTGCCAAAGTTTTATGTTTTTCAACGAGAGTGGCTGGAGGACGATCTGCTAAAGCTTGTCCGTAAATATCGGCTTCTAGACAGAGTATGTAGTAACAAATTGACCCTCTAGGGGGCAGTGCCACTTTTGATGGGAGATGAGCATAGACTGTAGGAAAATAAGAAAAAGGTAACGGTTCTATGAGAGAACATGTCGCCGGTGAGACGCAAGTCCAGGAAGAACGGAATAAGGTAGAAACACATTTTTTTTCCTGATGAAAGAAGAGAGTCTACTCTTTCTTTTGGTGTGTTCGGTGTTTACATAGTCATAGCACAAACTATTCTGTGGCTCTTGAAAAATCGGTCAAAATGCTCAAAAAACTCTGGCAGTATGGAACTCTGTTCTGAAAATGGCTGCCAGTCAATGAGTTAAAAGGACCCCAGGAAGAGTAGCTGTCCAATTACTGACAGCTAATGGGGATCCAAATAAATAAACAATAAACAACAAACAATAAACAATCTTTTCTGACCCTCAGAGCCAGAACGCGTCTCCGGCCGTGTGTGTGACCGAGGGAGAGGAGGCCGACGCCGAAGACTCAGATGAAAGCAAACGGCGGGGGGAAACCAGTCCGGAGGCAGGAGGAGGGGAGGAGGAAGAGGAGGAGAAGGAGGGGAGGAAGGAGGACGGAGCCCTGCTCCACCAGTTCACCAGGACCTCGGTGGAGTCCCAGCCCGGATCCATGGAGGAGGTCCAGCCCCCGGAGCCCGTGGGGGGGGCCAAAACGGCCGGGGGGGGGGGGGTCAGCGCGCCAGAAGAGGAGCTCTAACCCAAAGAGACTGTGAAAAGAATAAAAAATGTCTCTTTCACCGAACACTCGAAGCACTTTATCTACTTTGGTTGGCGGGAGGTTCCCATCTCGGTAGAAACCTGACACTTGAAACAACGTATTGACTGTATTTAACCTTCTTTACTATATTTATAATGGTTCGTCGCATATTTTCCGAATGGACTTTACGTGTTAAAGCACAGGGTGAGACCTTCGGGTGGGCCACAGGATGGATATCTCGTCGTTTCATATAGCCAATAATATACCGAGTACCTCAAGGATGTGTTATGTTATTTGACTTTTCAGTAGAGTTGGACAGAGCCAGACTCAGAGTCTTCTGGTCTCGTAAGTGCTGTGTTCTCAGGGATTTGAACAGCCAACTCGCTTTGGTGGGGTCATCTCCTAGCTATTACTTAACCAACTGCTTAAATCTGTAGCCTGCTAATAAGTCCTCTGTTTAAATCTGAGTAAACTCTGTGATGTAATCCGATTATCTAAAAGGAAATTATATTTTGGGACTAGGTTCTTTGTTGTCTTGACGATAAATATTAATCATACTGAGATCTTACCATATACGGACTTCGGTATTAAATAATTCAGGGGATGAAATGAGTAAAAAATCTGAGGGGAAATCTAAATTTAACACTGAAGGGAAACTTTTGTTTGCTTTTATTTGTTGTGTGGAGGGGTTTGTGTCACTGGAAAAACAGAGAAGTGTGTAACCGATGCCTTACTGAACCCTCGATCGACAACAGAGACAAAAGGAAGAGGCTGAAAGTGACCAAACGCTGTAAAAATGTGTTTCAAGTCCCCTTTCTCTTCACTCAAATCTCAAACTCAATTTAAAACGGAGGCTCTCTGTTCAGGACGGGCAGAAACGGGACCAAAGCCTTGTATTTGTGGTGCAAAGGGGACGGGGGGTGTGCCTATGCTGCTATCTGTTCGTTTGGCTTGTGTCACCACCAGGTGTGAGTCCAGGAAGCTGATGTGACTGTAACCATGCCGACGTAAATAAACTGAATGGACCGATTCTGACAGGCTCCTGCTTTTTTAGACCCGAGTTTAGAAACGCTCAGAACACTGGATAAACTTTTTATGCTGATTAATCAAGAAAACAGATTCAACAGATTTGACCACTAAAAAGTGTCAAATAAAGGCTGAATCTGCCTTTAAGGAGCCTTATAAAAGCTGTGACCCTGTGTCACAATGAAACGTCCAGATCTCCCTTTAATTAATAACATACAGGATTTACATCTGAGTTACAGAAAAAAAATTAAATATTAATAAAAACCATTTCTTAGCATGATTCCAGGGCTGAGAATACATCAAATGAGCAGCAAAAGAGGGATTTGTTGGCCATTTTCTGCTCTTTGGCTCCTCCTACAGCTCTGGGAGGTAATGACTATTATAAAACTCTTTCTTTTGATTCTATATTTAGAATTATTTAGAAATATAATATATATAACAGATAGATAGATAGATAGATAGATAGATAGATAGATAAATAGATAGATAGATAGATAGATAGATAGATAGATAGATAGATAGATA